CAGCATAGGAAGCTCACAAGGTCAGTTCCATTCTGTCCTAAAGAACTTTATGATTTGCAACCAAATCGGTGACACTGGGGTGTTTTCATTTTTTAATGGCCATTAATATTCAGCATCTTTTCAAATGCTTATTGGACATTTGTATATCCTCTACAGTGATATGTCTACTTAAGTCTTTAGTCACATTTTTATTGTATTGCATTTTTCTTGTTATATTTTGAGTTATTTGTACTTTTTGTAATTAAGCCTTACCTACTATAGGGTTCTGTTTTTGTCACCCAGTCTATAGGTTGTTTGTTCAATTAGTTGAATAAGTTGATGAGTGGAAGTCTTAAAATTTTGATAAGATGAATTTACCAACGTTGTCGTTTGTTGTTTTTGCTTTTATTGTATTGCCTAATTCAAACTAGGACCTAATATCCCTCCCATATTTTTTCTAAGTTTGATTGTTGTTGTTTATTTTAGTTCACACATTTAACTCTTTGGTACATTGTGTGTACTTTTTTTATATAGTGCATGAAAATGAGTCCAATTTCATGCTTTTGCTATTGGAAATCCTGTTGTCTCGGCACCATTTATTAAACGGCATTTCTTTCACTTGTTTAGACATAGTATCCGGCGATATAATTTCTCCAGGAACTGTTCTGGAGAAAGATGTAATGCTTGGTAAAATGGAGGGGCAAAAAAAAAAAGAGGAAAGCCCTCTATGAGATGGATTGGCACAGGTGTAGGAACAATTGTAAGGATGGTGCAGGATCTGGCACTGTTTCATTTTGTTGTGCATGGAGTCCTTGTGGGTCAGAACCCACTTTATGGCACCTCAAAATAAAAACAACAATAACTTCTTTCCCTATTTAATGGAGTTAGCATTTGTTAAAGGTTAATTGGCCATAGATGTGCTGCTTATCTCTAGACTTTCAATTATATTCCTTTGTTCTATTGATGTGGTATAATAAATAGTAACAGATATGGGAAGACTGAGTATTTCCAGGAATGTATATATATTTGACAAAGTTATGTAAACTTCTCAGCTGCACTCAAACACCCTGATGGACTGAATCTTTGTGCCTGCTGGCTTAGTAGCAGAGTCTTGAGGAACTTTTAGGTCAATTGGCATAACAATAAAGACAATCTTTTCCCTCCTGCTGTGATGAGTATCAACTGGGGTCCTAAAAACTCTGAGAAGCCACATAAGATGCAACTCTGTCTCTCCTCATCTGGAGTAAAGAAAAGCTAACTCCCTGACGTTGAGGCAATGCTGACTCATAGTGATTCTCTGTAGGTTTCTGAGACTGTAACTTTTCACGGGAGTAGAACGCCCTGTCTTTCTCACGCAGAGCTGCTGGGAGTAAAGAAGAGTGAAGAAAATCAAAGACGCAAAGGGAACAATTATTTCAGAAGACTAAGGGAATATCAGAACTACAGTCCCTAAATGTCTACTGGCTGTCACTAAAGATTCCTCTGACTGGGAACATCATGGATGGTCCTGGAAAGAGTGAGATAAAAATTTAGAACAAAATTTAAAATCATAAATAATGATCAGACTTACTGTTTTGATGGAGAAAGATGGAAGCTCAAGGCTACGGCACATAGACACTCTTCAAATCTTGTACTGACCCCAAGCTAGGGATGCCCTTTCAGCTAAATAATAGACAGCCTTATAAACTGAACAATAACTCCCATGAGGAATATTCGCCTTAGCACAATCAACCAGACCATAGGAAAAAATGCAGTACTGGCTCAAGAATAAATCTTAGAGGGAAGGAAGAAGCAAAAGAGAAGGATTCATGGAAAGAGGAATACATCAAGAAAGTGGGAGAAGTGCCATTATATTGAGAGGACTGCAACTAATTCACAAAATATAATGTCTGCAATTTTGTTGAATGAGAAAAAAGTATTCTGTTCTGTAACTTTTCATTCAGCTCACAATGAAATTTTAAAAAGAGAGAAATATTGCAATGTTGTGATCAGATCTATAATGAGTCGTAGAATTCCTTAAAACCCATCTGGTTCTTCCACCGACTTTTCTTTGTTCGAAGGTGTTTACTTACTGTTTTTATCTCTTAACTTGTTGTCTGTCGAAGTTTCGTTATCTCTGAAATTTCTTATTTATAAATATTAGTCCTCCAATTGTACTATTCTCTCAAGTTTCTCTAAAGTGGGCATATATAGAAGCAAGTGCATCAACTAATGAAAAAAAAAATTCTAGACATAATGTCATGTTATAACTGAGAAATACTGTAGGCACTTAAGTGTGACTACTTTACAGGTGAATTTCAGAATTGAAAATAGACTCAATAAATCCTTCTTCTCTTTCCCTGAAGGTGTCTCTGGTACATGGAATCACAGAATATAACACAGTTCCCTAAACTCCTTCTCCTGGGCCTCTCAGATGATCCAGATCTGCAGCGCCCCCTCTTTGGAACATTCTTATTGATGTACACTGTCACTGTGTGTGGGAATCTGCTGATTATCCTGACTGTAAGCTCTAGCAGCCACCTCCACACCCCCATGTATTTCTTCCTTTCCAACTTATCCCTGGCTGACATCGGTTTCACTTCCACCACGGTCCCAAAGATGCTTCATGACATCTATACAAAGCAGAAAGCGATCTCCTATGTTGAATGCTTGATTCAGTTAACATTGTTTAATTTTTTTGGATGTATGGACAATCTGCTGATCACTGCAATGGCCTATGACCGGTTTGTGGCCATTTGTCACCCCCTGCACTACTCAGTCATTATGAACCCCCGCTTATGTGGTCTGCTGGTTCTAGTATCTTTCTTTATTAGCTTGTTGGACTCCCAACTGCACTATTTCATGGTGTCACAGTTTATCTTTTGCGGAGATGTAGAAATCTCTAGTTTCTTCTGTGACCCTCCACTACTCCTCAACCTGGCCTGTTCTGACACATCCAGCTATAGTATATTAACATATTGCATTGGTGGCACCTTTGGTGGTGTTCCAGCCTTGTGGATCCTCTTCTCTTATACACGAATTGTTTCTTCTGTCCTAAAAGTGTCATCATCAGGTGGGAAGTATAAGGCCTTTTCCACCTGTGCCTCTCACCTCTCAGTTGTTTGCTTATTTTATGGAACAGGTCTTGGGGTGTACATCAGTTCAGCTGTCATATCTTCTCAGAGGAGCGGTGCGGTGGCCTCAGTGATGTACATCCTTGTTACACCCATGCTGAATCCCTTCATCTATAGCCTGAGGAACAGGGATATAAAGAAGGCACTGAAGAAGCTCCTCAGCAGAACAACTTATATGTAATATCTGAGCCATCATTTTGGGTCTGTGAATTACAATTGGCAAGAAAACCAAACATCTGTAACTGGAAAACATGCTTGTGTGGTCATATGATTTTCCTAGCTCTCAGAATTTTTATTGCTCTTGGTGTTTCATATAAGAATCATGTGTGGCCCTTATCAAAGATCAGTTGTCTGTATGTTGATGATTTTATTTCTGGGTTTTCAGTTCTTTTCCATTTGTCTGAGTATCTGTCATTGTACCAATACCATG